ATTGGTCCGTTGGAGCCTATTTTGGCACTATAAAAAGGGGTGTTTGGGTCTCCTTTTCACATCAATTCACTTCACATTACTCCTATTATCATTGCATTCAAACAACATCATTTTCCATAGCTTTCTAGAGCCAAATTGTGTGAAGTTTGAGTTGTTCTTGAGCGTACTTAGTTTACTCATCATCTACTCTTAAAGAGAGTCTTGTTCTTGAGTGTTTAGTGTTGTATACACGTTAAGGGAAGCTTGTTTCCCTTGGTTGTACGAAGGAAAGGTATTTTCCTTCGGGTTGAAGTCTTGGAGTGCGGTATCTCCGAGCAAGTATTGTTGAGGCTCGTGGGACTCGAGTTCTCAGGTTGTAACGGTTTGTTAAGCACCCGTAAGCTTAACGGAAGTAGTGTAGCTCGAGAGAGTCTCTCGGGAGACTGGATTAGCCACACGTTGTGGTGAGCCAGTATAAATCTTGGTGTGCTCCCTTTACGCTCTTTACTTTTCACGTTCTTAATTTTTTATTCCTGCGATTTCTACGATCAAACGCTATTCACCCCCCCCCCCTCTAGCGTTGGTCACTTATTCTAACAAGTTAAGTGTCCGATATCAATTGTCTTAAACTAATGATAGTTTAAGTGTCTGATTAATAATTGCCTTAAAAGAATCTGGTTATGGAAATTATGATTTGGCCTTAGACTAAGAATAGCTAAGAGCATTATTATGATCTGGCCTTAGACTAAGAATACTTAAGAGCGTTATTATGATCTGGCCTTAGACTAAGAATAGCTAAGAGCGTTATTATGATCTGGCCTTAGACTAAGAATAATTTAAGAGCACTATTGAAATAGTATCTGAATTGAATAAAATGTGTTGATATGAACTGAACAATACCAAAAATATGAATGTCTGAAATGAACATTGTGTGCATGATATCAAATAATTTGATTATGAATTTAGATTCAGTTTATATGGATGTTCGACGCATTAGATATGCTTACTCAGCTTTACCGCTGAGCGTGTAGTGTGTTTTACAGACATGGACGGATTAGGGTGTTACATGAAGCCATGTCCGTGATTTCGAATCTTCTCACCCATGACCGGTGAGACTGCCCAAGTTGACCAAGTCACAAGGCGCTGGATTTGACACCTCTCGGTCGATACGAACCTACCGGGTGGAATCAATGGGTTATTACCCATCAAGGAGTCCTCCGATTCCCGGCTCTGTTGGTACCATCAGTGGCGAGAAGCATATACAAGCCATTTTTCGAATTTCAAGTCCCCGGGCTGTTTTGGGCGGGAAAATATCAGTTGAAAATCGGCGCCAAATATATTTGAATTTTGAATTTTGAAATCTCGGGTGCTAAAGGCAGGGAAATCCTTATTGGAATCTGGTACGACACCGCCAATTTGTCGCACCGTTTCGTCTCCCTGAGAAGTTATCATTACAAATCATTTCAGCTGCCACGTGTCGCTCTCCCATTGGTTTGGCTGGGCGGAACCTCCCCTATATAAAGCGAGGTTCCCCACCGAATTTCTTCACTTGCAATTCGCTATCCAAAAAACTGCCCGGTTGCTACTACTGTCTCTTGAGTCCTCTGAGTCTTCTAGTTTCAAGTAAGTCTTCTTTTCCCCTCTTCATTTCTTTGAGTCATGTCTGAGAACGAGGACAATCAGAACCCTTCTGTCCATTTTTATGGTTCTGATGCCGGTCTCAGACCTCCAGTTCCCAGTCTTCTTCTTCTTCTTCTGAACGCCCGGCTACTTCTCAATAGGAGAAGCTGGTCGACGCCTCTACTTGTGCCCCTTCTACTTCTGCAGCACAAGTGGTCTCGGTAGCCCGGCCCGTGGATGAGGGTTTTGTTCTGGTGGATGACAAGTTGTTCTTGGAGCAGCCGTCCTTCATGCAGAAAGCTCAAGTCCACAAGCTCCGCAACCTTCTTCCGGAAGGTTACCAATTGTCTTACCGGGCAACGTGGAAGAATATTATTTCCCTCCATGCTGGTACGACAATTGGAATCCACTACCATTCCATCAAGGACTTGGGTGAATTCTCCATTCACCCCTTCAAAGTCCTCTTCTTTGAGACATACGAGATCATGCCCGGGCAGTTGACCACAAATGGTCACCGTATGCTGAGCAGTTTTATCAATGTCTGTCAATTCCTTTGCATCCCCCTCTCCCTCCGTCTCTTTGACCATATGTTCGACGTCTGGCCCGGGTCCAAGGAAACCCTTGGATTCGTGATTGTGTCCTCTCACCAGGGCCGGGCTTTTCTTTCCGGTCTCCCTCCTTCCAATAGGGGCGGGAAAGAAAAGTACGTCTCCATCAAGTTTCCCCCCGGAGACTTCCCTTTCGCCCAAAATGCCTGGGGGGAAAAAACTCAAGGTCCAGCCAGGGAGACCGATAACCAGGCCGCCTAGGAGTCCAAACTCCGGGCCGGGGACGCCTCCACCCGCGGTCCTTACAATATCGGGAAGTGGGGTGTCTACCCGGTTTAGAGACTGGCCCGGAGCCCGAGATCGTTCGGGGAGATGTGATCCCAGACGCGATCCCTCTCCACCGCGTCCAAGGCTCCACCGCCCAGGGCTCCACTGCCGCCACCGGTTCCCTTCGCCGGGGGAAGAAGAAGGAGAAAGGTCCCTTCCTACTTCTTTTCCTTTATGTGACTATTCTTTTTTATTTATTTTCCATGACTTTCCACTAACCGATTCCTTTGCTTTTTCTTCTTGTTGCAGTGGTGAAGTTCAACTCCAAGTTCTCCATCCCCCACATTGAGGATGTCGAGGGACCCTCCACCATCCAGCCATTCAGCCAGCAACCCTCCGGTCAACAGCCCCCTCAAGATGAGTAGCCGGCTCAATCCCAGCAAGGGACAAACATTCCCATTCACTCTGGGGAGATCTATTTTGATATAGAGACCCTGGAGTTTGACAACATGCTCGGGGAGACCAGGCATGCATTATAGGCCGGGCAGGAAGGCCAACGGGTGAAGTTAGCCGACCAGGAGGAGGACGCTGAGGAGTCCCGGCAGCGGAAGAGGCGTAGGACAAAGCTTGCTGACCAATCGGCCCAGTCCTCCGACGCCGGCAAAGGGAAAGGCGAGCCCCGGTCCCTGGCCCTTATGGCCAGGTGAGATGAAGAGTTGTTCTAGGCCTTCTGTGCCGATCTGAATGAGGTAATCCCCCATTTCCTCTTGTGTCTTTTCCAAGTTTTATAATAATTTTTTTCTGAAATTCTTCATCTCTTTGAAGCAGGTCGGCCAAATCGGTCAGGAATGGGCCACCCGGCTCATCAAGACCAAGTCTGAGGAGAAGGCCTGGCTGGAGGGCATGATGGTCGCCTACCGGAAGGAGGCCCAAGCTGCCCATCTGAAGGCAGAGAAAACCGAGGAGAAGCTGTTGGAGCACTGCACAGCCTTTTGGAAACTCAACACCAAGCATGAAGGGTTGCTGAAGGCTTCCAAAGAGGCTGACGCCCAAGCTCAGGAAAAGATCCGGGAGCTTGAAGGGGAGAAGGCCAAGCTGGAGGAGGAGGCTGCCCAGTCAGCTGCAGAGATTGCCGAACTGAAGGCAAAACATGAAAGGGAAAGAAGCGACCAGGCTTCTCATGCTGCAGCCTGGGCACCCCAAGAGCCTGAGCAGTTTGCTTCCCGGGTGATTCCTGACAGGGAGACTGGCATCTAGTTCTTCCGGGGCTTGTACAAGCATGAAGTCTCAGCCAAGGTCATCGATGAGATCGGGACCTTTGGCTTCGAGAGTGGCCAATTCCAAGAGCGCCGGGGGCTATACGGGATTCTCCAAAGGCAAATCCAGGGTTTTGAGCCCGAGGCCTTCTCCCTGCCCGAGCTTCATGATGAGGATCCGGTCCCTCCTTTCAAAGGGATATGATTTAATGTACTCTTTTTTATGATGTAAGAACATGCCCCCGGGCACTTGTACAACATTTTGAATTTCAATGAAGTCAGTTTCCCATCTTGTGTGTTGAATGCTTTTTTCTTTCTATGTTTGAATCTTGTAAACTCACCCGACTACTTTTGTCTCAAACATGTTTTTTAACTTGAGTTTTTAACTTTAAATCTATTGCCGAGTAGATTATTTAGAAACAGCCTCGCTATATCCACCCGGTCTAACGTATTCACCCAAGACTGACCAGGTGACCGGGAAGAGGTGGAGTCCGACCGTTCTCTTTCCCAAACGCTTTTGTCCCAAGCGAGAACAGCTCACCATATCCTCTTCATTTGAAAAGGAAGGTTTATTGCCCTGGTGCAAAACAAAACCGACTTGTCTTTCACATCGACTTTTTGGCTGTGTTGAAGGTAAGCCTTGGTGTTTTTGTCGCTTGACCTAACCAAGCCGCGATTATCTCCTTTTTTGGTTACGCCACTTGATACCGTGTCCGTACGGATTAATAGTTTGTCTAGACCGGCTGGTTTCTCTTTTTTCTTTTTTTTTTGTTTGGATGTCCAACTCGATTGAACATCTGACCGGTCGGATTGGTCTGCAACCATTTCCTGACCGGCCTTTAAAACGGTCTTTCTGAAAAAGAACAAATTTTATTTCATCACAGGGAACATATTACAATTCCTATCTATAGAATTTTCGCAAGTGGTGAGAGTTCCATGGTCTCAAGCTGATAAGTACCCGGACGGACAATCACCCTAATGCGATACGGCCCGTCCCAGTTGCGCACTAGCTTGCCTCTTTCGTTCGGCTTACTTGCGTCCCTTCTTCGTAAGACTTCATCGTGCACTTGGAAATAACGAGGACCAACTCGGTTATCATGATATCTCTTCACGGATTGCTGGTACACGGCCATTCTGATGGGCAACCATCGTTTTTCTCTCTTATACCAAATTCAACTCGGCTAAGCGATCAGCCTCGTTCTAACCGGGTTGATAAACGGCTTCTCTAAACGTCAGAAACTCTGCCTCAATTGGTAGCCGGGCCTCACATCCATAGGTGAGTACAAATAGTGTTTCCCTAGTCGCTCTTCTTGAGGTCACCCGGTGTGCCCAAATTGTATGAGGCAATGCTTCCAGCCATTCGTGCCCTTCTTCGCCCAGCCTTTTCTTCAGGCCATCCACTATCGTCCGGTTAGCATTTTCTACATGGCCATTCCCCTGGGGATATGCCACCGAAGCCTTGTTATGCTTGATTCCAAATTTTCTCAAGTATGTCGTGAACCGGGGGTTGCAAAACTGTGGGCCGTTGTCCGTCACGATCATCTTTGGTGCCCCAAACCGGGTGATGATGTTCTTCCACACGAACTTCTCACACTGCCGGACGGTTATGGTGGCCATTGCTTCTGCTTCAACCTACTTGGTGAAATAGTCTATGGCGACCATAACGAACTTCTTCCCACCTTGTGTAACCAGGAATGCCCCGATAATGTCAATCCCAAACCAGGCAAAGGGTATGACATTTGAGGTTGGTTGATAATATGTAGCTGGTCGGTCGGGATGTTTGTAAAAAACCTTACACGTCCTACACTTTTGCACATACCTCTCGCAATCTTTGACGATGGTTGGCCAGTAATAACCAAGCAGAATTATTCTTTAGGCCAGTGTACGGGACATCTGGTGGGCAGCGCAGAGCCGCAGACACCCTCGTGCACCTCGGCTCTCACCCGTTCTGCCTCCGGGTTAGTGAGGCAGCGCAGCAAAGGTCCCCCAATATCGCGTTTGTATAAATGGCCATCCAAAACCTGAAACCGGGGGGCTCGCAGGACTACTTTTCTGGCACGTTCCTCATCGTCCGGTTTCCGTCCAGTCATTAAATATTCCATGAGATCATATCGCTAGCATTCGTCCGCTTTGATCACCCCAACCGGCGAGCTCTGGTCCTCTTGGACGTCCGCAACTTCTAGCCGGTCAACACTTGATAGGTCCAATATTTCAATTTTTGCCAACTTTGACACATGCTCCGGGCAGGATTGCATCAATTTGGAAATCATATCAGCATCAGTGTTTTCTGACCAGGGTATCCTGGTCAGACGGAACTCCTCCAGTTCTCTCAAAAGAGCTCGACTTAGATCACTATACCATGTGAGGCGTTCTTCTTTGACCTCCATTTCTCCATTAACCTGTCCAACAACCAGGCTTGAATCTGACCGAATCCTCATCCTTTTAATACCGAGTGCCCAGGCCAATCTAAGCCCGCCGGCTAGTGCCTCATACTCCGCTTCGTTGTTGGTGAGCTTGAAGTTAAACATCATGGCATGGTAAATCTTGAATCCTTCACGAGTAGTGAAAACTATCCCGGCCCCACAACCTTTTGGCCTGGAAGCCCCGTCAAGGGCCATGTCCCACCACGGTTCGACCGTATGGGATGGTCCCGCTTCAGGTTCCAGACCAGTCAGTTCAACCAGGAAGTCGGGTAGGGCCTGACCCTTGATCGCAGTTCGAGGTTTGTAATCTATTTTGAACTGGGTGAGCATTATTGCCCACTTGATCATTCTTCCCAAAGAAGTTGAGCTATGGAGGACCAGACCAAGTGGCTGATCGGTCAGTACTTCTACTGCATGGGCTTGGAAGTATGTGGTCAGTTTTGTGGCCGTTATAAAAAGTGCATACGCTGTCTTTTCAATAGCAGTGTACCGGCTTTCTGCCCCATTAAGTGCTTTGCTCACATAGTAAATAGGCCTCTGGCCATCTTCATTCCTTATCAAAACAAAACTTACAACATTTTGGGATATGCCCAGATACAAATACAAAGTCTCAACCGGCTTGGGTTTAGACAAAACTATGTCAGAAACTAAGTACTCTTTTAGCTGTTGAAAGGCCTCTTCATACTCCCGGCTCCACTCGAAGGTGCTTCCCTTCTTCAGGACTTTGAAGAAGGGTAAGACTCTTTCAGCTGACCGGGACAAGAAACGGCTCAGAGCTGCCAGCCGCCGGTCAGTCGCTGGACGTCCTTCAAGGAACTGGGCGACCTCATCTCTGTTATCGCCTTGATCTTCTCCAATTTGGGCTCAAATCCTCGTTTTGTGACAATGAACCCCAAGAACTTGCCGGTTTTCACAGCAAAGACGCACTTCAAGAAGGGGTTTGAACAGCCGGTTTACCATCCGCTGGTAAGTAGTGCCCGAGTTCTTAAGTCCAAAGGCCATCACCCGGTAGCAATACGTGCCTTCGGGAGTAAGGAAAGAAGTCTTCTCTTCGTCTTCCTTCGCCATGAAGATTTGATGATAGCCTTTGAAGGCGTCCATAAAGCTTAGCAACTCGCATCCGGCCGTCTCGTCGACCATCTGATCCGGACTGGGCAATGGATATGAATCGATGGGGCATGCTTTGTTGAGATCTGTGTAGTCCACGCACATACGCCAAGTGTCGCCCTTGGGAGCCAAGATGACGTTGGCTAACCAGGCCAGGTATTGGACTTCTCTAATGTGTCCGACTGCTAGCAAATCATTTACTTCTTTCTTAACAAACTCCCTCCAGACGTTTGTTAAGTCTCTTCTTTTGTTTTACCAGCCGGCTACCTTCTATTACAGGCGACTGGTGGCATATAATAGAACGGTCAATGCCCGGCAAATCCGCCACACTCCAGGAGAATATGTCAGCATACTCCCGGAGGACTGAGATGATCTCTTCTCGAAGTCCTTCGGGTAAGTCCTGGCCAATCCTCACCATTTTTTCCGGGAATGTCTCCCTGGGAACAATCTCCTCCGTTTCTTCGCCCGGTTCCAACCCCATCCGGTCTTCCTCTTTCTCCACCTCCTGGGAGACCAAAGTTACCCTCTCGAACGCTTTTGTCATTTTCTTCACAGCTTCGAGGTAACAAGACCGGGCCTTTTTCTAGTCTCCTCTGACTTGTCCTATACCGCCCGGTGTATAGAACTTCATGCATAAGTGGGCCATGGAGATGATTCCACGGACTTTGTTGATTACTGGCCGGCCCACGATGGCATTGTGAACACATTTGATGTTCACCACCACGAACCTCATTTGCTTTTGCACGACCTTGTCCCCCGTGCCCAACTCGACTGTTAAGAGGATCGTCCCTTCAGCTTCTATAGAATCTCCTATGAACCCGGACATGGGAGTTTTTAATGGCTCAAGCCGTGTGCGACACAGCTTAAGTTTCTCGAAGGCCTCTAGGTACAAAACGTTGACACTACTGCCGGTGTCAACGAGTACCCGGGAGACATCAACTCCTCCCATATCCATCGTGATGACCAAAGGGTCACTGTGATCTTCCCCGGTGCTGGGAAGATCCCGGTCGTTGAAGGTGATTGGCTCCCGCCTGGTTTGCTTCCGCCGGGGGTCAAAGGCGACTGAACCCACATAGAGTTCACGCCCCCACTTCTTTCTTTGAAAAGCAGAATCTCCTCCCTCCGGTCCACCGTAGATCATCTTCACATGCTCTTTACCGGCTGCTTTCTTCTTCTTATTTTGATCAGCCGGTTGCGCTTCAGGCCGAACCCATTGGTTCTTTTTTTGTTTTGCCTGGGAAAGGTACTCCTGGCCAAGTTCCCCGGCCTCAATCATCTGCTTTATCACCCCTTTAACACTATTGCACTCGGTCGTGTTATAGGTGTCAGTTTTGTGGAAGGAGCAGTATTTTTCCGTCCACTGCTTCTCCCCTGTTGGTTTCTTTTCCATCTTCTCCGACTTCACCTCCAATACTTCCGTTTTTACCCTGCCGGGTAAATCAATTTCCTTCTTCACTGCACTCCTTCCCCTCTGGGGACCTTGCACAGCTTCCCTCTTGGAAGAGACTTGAGCTTCAGCATCTGAATAGTCCCAGGCCGTATTGAAGGCCTCTTGGTAAGATTGAGGAGGCCTTCTACAGAATTCCTTGTATAACTCCCCGGAACGGAGCCCGGAGACCAGGAGGGACATGGCGGTTTTATCGTCCATCTCTTCGACTTTGTCAACTTCATCCTTCCACCGGGTGAGGAACTTGGTCAGATCCCCATGCTCCCTCTGCCCGACCGCACTCAAGTAGGTAAATTTTTTCCTCTTGGTACAATTTTCTTTGAATTTCTCTTGAAATACTTCTGCCAACTCATCAAAAGAGTCAATCTCACCGGAGGTAGGGGTGAGTGTGGTACGGTATTTAGCTCGTACCGATACCGTACCAAATATTTTGGTTCGGTATGGGATTTTACGTTGTACCGATCCCGATCCCAAAGCATCGATTCGGTATGGTTTGGGATGGTCCGATATTGGTTTCGGTACAAATCGGGATGAATATATATGTACCTAGTTTACATCATAAAATGTAACAAAACTTTTTATTTTTGAAAAATCGAATGTACATTTAACCAAAGAAAGATAAAAAATTTAAAAATGAAAAACTAAAATGCAAGAAATGTTTATGAAAGTTACTTTATATTTCACAAACTAAAGAGAACGAGTGATAACAAAGTATTATTTCAAATATTTGTTAATATTCTTATACTCATCTACAAAAAATAAAAAACTCTTATTAAAGTGTAACTTAAACATACTGAAAATAAACTAAATTGTCTATATAAATTTTTTATTTAATGAAGAAATATAAAAAGATTATTATTTTATAATATATTAGTATATATGTTCGGTTTGGGAATTTCGGTATGGGAAGTAACCTCGTACCATTCCCAAATACCAGACCGACCGTTCGGTTTGGTACGATTCGGTTTCTTTTCAGTACTTTATAGGTTCGGTATTTTTCAGTTCAGTATTCTCGGTTTTTTCGGGAAATATCGGGATCGGTTCAGTCCTTGCTCACCCCTAACCGGAGGGGAGGTTGTGAAACCACTCGGCGGCCCGGCCGCGGAGGGTTTGAAAGAAAAGTAAACACTTCTCGTCCCCGGTGAGTCCCATCATCCTTCCACTTTGGTGAAGAGTTTTGATATGGATTTCTGGGTCCTCTTTGTCGGCGAACTTTGGGACCTCAAGTTTGGCCTTCTTTGGAAACAGAGTCTCATGCACCCGGTCAGTGAATGGTGACCCATTCAGCAAAACCTTCTTCTTTTCATCCCGATCTACTTGCCTTTGTAATTTCTCCAATCGGGCTTCTACCCGACCCACACGGTCCCTGGGTTGCTCTACGTGTGTTCTGACCGTGTGGCTTGGATGGCTTTCTGCTTCCTCTTCTTCGTGAGGCGCCCGGCTGTTCTAGGGCTCGTCTTCAGGGCAAGTTTTGGTCTGCCTGATTCGACCAGGCCGTTCGTCTCCCCTCCCCAGCCGGTTAAATGCGCTCACCTGGATTGTTTTCACCCCCAACCGCTCTTTGGCCGGTCGGTTCTGATTCCTTCCTTCGTGTCCCAATCTTTGGAACGCTAACCGTCTTGACCCCTCAGGTTGGACAGCCTTTCCTTTCAATTTTTTCTGGGCCCGTGGTACATCCCAGTCTTCATCCTTGATATCGACCGAATGTACGTCCCCCTCAACTGTCACTCGAGTGTGACACCTTTGTGATCGACCTATTCTAGATCGGGACGGACTAGCCTTGTCCATCTCCCAGACCAGATTTGTCGAGACGACCTGTCGGATAATGCTGGTCGGATGGAATGATGAGGGCCTGAGGGGTGCCCGATTACATTCGGGAAAGGAGAACTTTGGGGTAAGGTTTGTGGATACATTCCTGGAATAAAGGGGGGGAAATCCTCCCGGCTATTGAAGCATGGACATGAACTGTCCAAATCTTTGAAGCGCCTGGGAGTATATTCGGTCCATGGGCCTAGGGAAGCTTGGAGGAAAAACAGGGACCGAAGTTATTGGGGAAGTGAACGGGGTAGGCGTTGGGATGGTGATTATATGAGTATGGATTGGTGTGATGGGTGGGGGTAGGGTATTTCCCCCCGGGGGCAACGTAACATTCTCAACCGGGGTGGAAATCTGTGAAATAATGGTTTCCTGGTTGCTTGTCATGGCTTTTTGTAAAGAGGTCCCACCGGTGGCGCCAATTTGTTGGTGTAAATATCATGCAAATATTAAGTACAAATAAGCGGAAGGGTTGTAGGTGGGAACACCTGTAACCCGGTTTATTATTAATGACAGTAGGACTGTTTACAAATTATAAGCCGTGTAGATTAATGAAAGCATTCCTCACAAATGAGGCTTTTAGTCCTATTTATAATAATGACTAAGCACGTCAAGCACGTCTCTGCACTTTCGACCAGTCAGTCTCCAATCGGTCAGCATGCATGCCTTCGTGAGATGAAGCCATGTCCGTGATTCCAAATCTTCTCACCCCTAACCGGTCAGACTACCCGGGTGGACCAAGTCACAAGGCGTTGGATTTGACACCTCCCGGTCGGTACGAACCTACCGGGTGGAATCAATGGGTTATTACCCATCAAGTATGAATGGTGAATTTAGTATTTTGGTGGGGTGTGGCTATCACCACCCTAGAATAAGTTTTTTTTTTTGAAAAGAACATCAGAATACCATTAATTCAAATCAGAGTACAAAGTCTCATAAAGAAATGCTGGAGGGGCATGAATCCACTCCAAACAATCAGACTCAGAATCAGAAGCTCTAGCCAACATATGAGCCACCTGATTCGCTGATCTTTTAACAACTGAAAGCGTGAGAGAAACAAAGTCTCGCATCACTATCTTACAATCAGAAATAATATCTAAGAAATAAGAATGTGAATGAGTTTCAATATCTTCTTGAATTGCTTTAAATACTACCTCGCTGTCGATCTCGACACTTAGATTCATTTGTCCAACCGGCATCCTAAGCCACCTCAATGCCTCCCGGAGTCCTGTTGCTTCAGCCATTTGTGCATCTTCCAGCCGCCCTAGTCCGAAGTGAGCTCCTCGCAAAAAATTTCCTTGATCATCCCGCACCACCACTCCAACTCGGGCCACACTTGTACGTATGTTAAAGCTTGCATCCACATTGCACTTTAAGACCCCTCTCACCGGTGCTCTCCATTTATGCATCCGGTCCCCCGACCCCAATCGGGCTTCTAAGGACCCGGGGCGTGCTGCTTGCCACTCTTGTAGTCCTCGGATAGCTCTTTCCGCCACAAAGGTTATGCTCAAGCTTCTGTTCTTCCAAACAAGTTGATTCCGTTGTTGCCACGCCTCCCATAAAACCATACAAAGTTGTTGAACCCTTTCCTTTGTGAGTGTTCGGCAAACCTCCTCAAACCATTCAACCATACTCCCATACTGTCGTATGCTTACATAGCCCACTCTGCCCAGGCATGCTTGGGAAAAAGTGCAGCCTATTAAGCTGTGGATAGTGGTCTCCTGATCGGTGCAACATCTAGGACACACATCTGCCACCTCCACCTGACGCCTCCGAAGGTTGGCTCTTACAGGTACCTGCAGCAACTCTCGAGCGGTGTATTAGTTGCGAACTTTTGGCGGTACCTGCATTTTCCAAATAAACGCCCACATGTCGTTGTTTGTAGTTGTCCCTGACCACCTCTCTTCGTACATCATTCGGTAGCCATGTTTCACTGAATACAATCCTTTGAGGTCGTCTCTCCAGATCCATGCATCTTCTCGACTGTACAGGCCCAATGGAATACGTGATATCTCTTGGACTTCCTCCACGCTAAACAGTGTCTGGAGTAAGTCCATATCCCATCTTCGAGTACCTGGATCGATAAAAGCCGACACCAAGACCTCGTTCAACTCCTCTGCAAGGCACGAACGAACATATGGGTCTTCCTTTCTCAAAAGCCAAGGTGCAGCCAGCAGCTTTGTTGTTTCCCCATTCCCGATCCGTCGTATACAGCCCTTCTCCAAGATGCGTCGCCCTTCCAAAATGGATCGCCAAACAAAGCTAGCATTATTTCCACACCCTGCATTAAAAAAATCACCGTTAGGGAAATAACGAGCCTTATAGACCTGGTGCACAAGAGAGTTGGGTCTCGTTAGGAGATTCCAACCCGTTTTAGCTAGGAGAGCCATATTAAACCATTGCATTTGTTTGAATCCTAATCCCCCATTCATTTTATTTTTGCTCAGACGCTCCCAAGACATCCAGTTTATCCCGCGGTTCTCTCCCGTTCCGGACTTCCACCAAAACTTATTAATTGTCGTCTCAATATTATCACAGATAGACACTGGTATCCTGAACATTGCCATCACATATGTCGGAATTGCTTGAAGAACTGTCTTTATAAGTATCTCCTTCCCAGCTCGAGAAAGGGTTTTAGTCTTCCAACTTTGAATTCTAGTCCAGACCCTATCCTGAATAAATTGGAAGATCTCTTTCTTATTTCTCCCCACCACCGAAGGCAGCCCCAAATACTTCCCTGTAGTGTCTGCCTCACGAACCCGGAGCTTTGCCATCACTTGCCTTTTGTCCTCATTTGAAGTATTTCGACTGAATGTAATGTCAGATTTTTGATTATTCAAGAGTTGGCCTGATGCTTGTTGATATATTCTAAGACACTGGTCAATGATAGTTGCTTCCACTGTCGTTGCTCTAAAGAAGTAAAGTGCGTTGTCAGCGAAGAATAGGTGGGAGACCACAGGAGCTCTCGGTGTCACTTTAACCCCATGCAATTGTCCCGCTCGGCTGAACTTTTGAAGCAACGCTGACAACCCTTCTGCGACAATAAGAAAAAGGTACGGTGATAAAGGGTCACCCTGCCGCAAGCCACTTGAGGGAAGAACATGTCCAATAATATGCCCCTCATTGAGAATGTTATATTTCACAGACATGGTCATTCGCATCACCTTATTCACCCAATCTGTTGTAAACCCAAGCTTCAGCATCATCTCTTTTAGAAAACCCCATTCCACCCTATCGTAGGCCTTGCTCATATCTGTCTTTAAAGCTGCATACCCCGTCTTCCCTTGTGTTTTCCGCTTCATATAATGCATTGTCTCGAAAGCAACTAGGGCATTATCAATGATGTAGCGCCCTGGGATAAAGGCACTTTGAGTATGGGAAATAGCTGTATCCATACAATGTTGCATTCTATTAGCCATAACTTTGCAAGCAATCCTATCAATAACATTGCATAGGGATATCGGTCGGAGATCCCCCATCGTACAAGGCACTTTCTTTTTCGGAATCAACACAATATTAGTATTGTTCCCTCCTGGAGCCTCGCCTGTACGATCCATAAAATCCATTATTGCTTGTGTAACATCATCCCCAACAACTCCCCAAAAGGCTTGGAAAAAACCAGGATTAAAGCCATCCGGTCCTGGGGACTTGTCCGGGTGCATACCAAAAACAGCCCGCTTCACCTCCTCTTTCACTACTGGTACACAAAGTCTCTGATTTTGTGCCTCTGTTATCCTCTTGTTCACTGTGCCCAAGATGCACCGTGTCTCTCCTGGCGATGCCTTAAATAGATCCTCAAAGTAAGCCCTCATTAGGTCGTGCATACCACTGTCTGCTGTTACCCATCTCCCCTCTGAATTCTGTAGTTGTGTGATGTGGTTCTTCTTTCGCCCTGATGCAGAGAGGTGGAAGTATCGTGTGTTCTGATCTCCAGAAGTCAACCAATGTTGTTTAGCTCGTTGTTTCCAATACATTTCTTGCTGCTCCAACACCTGTTTGTAGGCTTCCTGGGCACATCGGAAAAAATAGCGATGTTCTATTGCGTGGCTGTTACGGTACTTTTGCATCTGCTTTTTACTGGCCTGTAACTTTGCTTTGAAGATATTTCGCTTTTGTTGGCCCCAACGATGAAGGTACTCCCCACAATAGTTCATACGCTCCACAATTGGTCTCCCATTCCCTAGCTTCCAAGCCTCCTCAACCGCCTCCCGCACATCAATTTCTTTAAGCCATGCATTCTCAAACCTGAAGGCTTTTGGTACATATGTTATCCGGTTGCTACTCGCAGTGAGAAACAGAGCTGAGTGGTCACTGTACACAGTTTCGACATGCTCCATATGGATTTTATCAAACAATTGCATCCATCGGTGTGTCCCAAACCCCCTGTCCAGTCGCTCACAGACCCAATTCGGTGTATCTCGGCCCCTTTCCCAAGTGAACTTATTTCCAGTGAAGCCCAAGTCATGCAGCTCACAAAAATCAACAGCCTCCCGGAAACCTTGTATTCTCCATCCCGGTTGTTGGATCCTACCCTTTTTGTCTCCAAAAGATAAAATATCATTGAAATCATCAAGTATGCACCAGGGTAGGGAAGAAATACCTTTAAGAGACCCTAGAATAAGTTATTGTTTAATTATTACAAGATTATTCATTATTGAAAAAAATTAGTTTCACTCTAAAAAAAACTTAAATTTGGTACTCCATATTATTTATAAACACATATTTAAGAAACACATGAAGATTTAAAGTTAGAAACTAAAAAACAAAAAAAAGAGAATTTACCAAAAATAATCTCACCTTTCATTTATTTCCAAAAAAAGACATTTTCCAAAATTTTCGTTAAGTGACTGTAATCTTTTAAACGGCGACCCAAAACGCGTATACACGTAGAGAGATGGGATTATTTCCAATGACAGTGAAAAGCTGAATTATTTTTGATAGAGCGCAAAAAGGTGAGATTATTTGAGATAATTTTCCCTAAAAATAATACTTTATATTTCTTAATTAAATAATAAATTGATTTTGAATTTTACTAATTTGCCTTACTTGCAGTAATTCAATTTGTTGCTTGAGGCCAAGCAACGTGTAGGTGTGAGGAATTTGATAAGTCCAATCTGTTCTTATTTTATTCGACATAGTTTAAATGTTACTGCATGCAAAATGTATCAAATCATTTCATAAAAGATGTTTTTGCAAATAAAACTCTTGTTTTGTTTTAAAGGGGTTCTAGAATAAATCACTTCAATTTATCCATTTCTATTCAAAAACTTGAGAACAAGAGAATAAATCGTCATTTAAACAAAATTGGAGCTAGAACGAATCTTTGGAAAGCCAAGGTCAACATTTGGGGTACGAAAGGGCAAAATTCGGCAAAAATTGAAGTTGAAATTCACGCCGAAGCCCAAATCGAAACCCGAGTGTTCGACTTGGATGCAAAGGGTTGGGTGCTCGGAGTTGGGCGCTCGAGGAAGCTTTCACCCAAAAAAGGACGACGCGGATCGATGACGTGTCAAGAATCCAACGGAGCGGGCATCTAGTTTTGTGGCCCGGGATTGGACGCCCGAGGGATTGGATGCCCGGGATCCTAGCCTATAAAAGCTGCAGGAATTTTCCATTTTCTACTTCCAATTCTTCAAGTTTTCTTCCTCCTTTCTCATTATTTTCAACTTTAGCTTTTAGTTTAATATCTTATTTAGTTGGCAATAGTTTTTTGAGGTGTTCAACTCTAGATCTGTTTTATTTCCACTTGTTCGGAGACTACAAGTTCTTAGCTTTTTTATAAAATGTTATTTAATTTATTATTTTGCATAGTATGAGTTAGGGTCCGGGCCTTGGGTCTATATTAATTTGGGCACATACTCTGTATGTTTATTTAATAGTTGAAATAATTATTCTAAATTTGTTTTAAAATTAATTATGTCGAAAGATAAATTATGTAATTATTGGAAATTAGTTTTTGCCTTGTCTATGAGGATTTGAAATGAATTAAGCCGATCTTTTTAGAACATATTAATGGTACCTTTAGAAAGGATAAGTTAATTAAATCTTTGAGAAAAGAACTATTATTATTCCAATTATTAATTAAATACGTAACAACATTGGTAATCTCAGATGATGTATTTGCTCGAGGTCTATGTTAAATATAATATTTATTATATTTAATTATATGTATATATTAATTATTATATTTATTACATTTACTCTAGAATTTCTAAACACTCTAGAGAAACTCTTGGCCTAACCCTTCATCATGTATAAATACTCTTGTATGCACATACCAAAATCATTGAGAAATAGAAATATTTTATTCTTTTTACATGGTATTAGAGCCAAAACCCGAACTCTAACCCTTCCTCCTGGTTCGACTGTCGGCTGTCTCCCTCCCACACTCTACCAACGCCGATCATCTTCTTCGGTAGTTTGTTCCTATCTCGACATGGCTTCCGACAACTCCTCTACTACTACTACCTCCACAACATCGAATTCTCCTCATCTTGCCCTCACAACCATCTCAAACGTCAAGCTTCATATCCCCATTCAACTTAGCATCTCGGCCCCCAACTACAAATAATGGAGTCGTCTTTTTCTTCTTCTCGTGTGACGTTTCAACCTCCAAGGTTTCCTTACCGGCGACACAAAACCCTCCGGTGACAATGACACGGAATGGGTCCAATTTGATGCCCTTCTTCAAGGATGGATCCTTTCGACGGTCACCGATGAAGTGTCCAATCTCATTATTGCCTCTCATGACACCGCCGCTGAATTATGGAAAGCAATTCACGATCTCTTTCACGACAACAAGAACGCAAGAGCAATGCAACTTGAGAATCAATTTTGCACTACCGTCAAAGGCACAAAATCGATGGTTGATTATTGTCAAACGCTCAAGAATCTGGCCGATTGTTTAGACGACGTTGATGCACCCGTGACCGACAATCAACTCGTCCTCCAACTCCTCCGCGGGCTTCCCGAAGATCTCCAAAGTCGGGCATCTTTTCTGCAATCTCAAAAG